AATCTGTTGCGGAGGTACTTAAGACCCCGCAATGGACGAAACCAATGATGGCGGGGGTATTTCGCTAGCAGATATCTCCGATGATGAGTCTGTTAAATCTCCATCATTCGAAAATCTGCTTCTCACTGAAGAGGAAATGGATACCTCAGGGGATTCTACTTCGGACCCCAAAACGAGCACTGGAGCTTACCCAAAGGTGATGTCTAAACAACAACCTCCTTCACCCCCTGCCCCCCCTTCTCCACCATCGCCCCCTCGTCCACCTGTTCCCCCTACTCCAACCGTTCCCTTAAAAATTTCTGCGACCCCCCGCCATAAAGCTTACCCAAGCGACTCAAAAGGTCCGTGGGTTGTTTTTTTCCGGCCCAAACAAAAACCTTTGAATATTTCTCGGATTTCGAAGGATCTGACAAAACATTTTTCGGCCGTAACCGATATCTTTAAGGTAACGTCAAACAAACTGCGCGTTACCGTTGATGACCTGAAACAGGCAAACCGGATTGTTGCCTGTGAGCTTTTTTCGATCGAATATCGAGTCTACGTCCCCAGTTGTGACGTAGAAATTGAAGGAGTTGTCACCGAATCGAGTCTGACTTGTGAGGATTTCCTGCAAGTCGAATCTTTCGGCATTTTCAAAAACCGTGCCCTCCCGAAAGTCAAGATACTGGACTGCATTCAACTGCAGTCAGTGTCGCACATAGGCACAAAAAAAAAGTATACCCTCTCAGATTCGTTTCGTGTGACCTTTTCAGGATCGGCATTACCTGACTACGTCACAATTGGGAAGGTTCGACTACCTGTACGCTTGTTTGTACCGAGGGTAATGAATTGCTTGAAATGCAAACAACTAGGTCACACCGCGGACTTTTGTTCCAACAAACCGCGGTGCGATCAATGTGGGGAGGAGCATACGGAGGGTCCTTGTCATGCTACCCCAAAATGCGTTTACTGTAAGGATGCTCCGCATGCTCTGAGTGATTGCCCGAAGTACAAACAGCAGGGAGAAAAACTAAAGCGGTCTTTGCAAGCTCGCTCTAAGCGCTCGTTAGCAGAAATTTTAAAAACGACCGCTTCATCTTCCCAAACCACCCCAAAAAGCAACAACACATTCCACCTCCTGCCAGATGATGATCAGCGCTCTGACTCAGAGGTGGGTGAGAGTAGTCCTTTTGTCTTTAATGGCAACACGAGGAAGCAATCCAAAATAAACGTCACCCAAAAACCTCGTAAGGCCTCTCGTATGGACTACCAACCAACCTTGACAAATTTAAGAGGTAGCGGAAATGTACCGAAACCCCCACCACCGGGATTTAAATCTTGTAATTTTAACAAGGACTTTCCGCCACTTCCGGGATCATCTAAAACCCCAGAGATCCCAGTTTTTCAGCCAGGAAAACAGCTGAATAATCAGCAAGAACATGATGCCATGTTCACGTTTTCTGAAATTGTGGAGAGCATCTTCAATATATTCAACGTCTCTGACTCAACTCGGAACATTATTAATTTAGTGCTTCCATTCGTGAAAACTCTTTTGAAGCAACTAGCTTCTAGGTGGTCCTTCCTTGCATCGATCATATCCTTTGATGGATAATTTTCCGAATGAGGTCGGGGATATGATCTCTGTTCTTCAGTGGAACTGTAGAAGTCTTATACCGAAACTTGACACATTCAAATTTTTAGTTCACAACTCACTTTGTGATGCATTTGCTCTTTGTGAAACATGGCTTTCTTCAGACACCGATCTCCCTTTCCACGATTTTAACATTATTCGCCTTGATCGAGCAGATTCGTATGGAGGGGTGCTTCTCGGGATTCATAAGCTCCATTCCTTTCATAGAATCGATCTGCCTTCCGTGACAGGCATTGAAGTTGTCGCATGTCAGGTAAATATTCGAGGTAAAAGCCTCAGTATTGCCTCAGTATATCTTCCTCCAAGAACTACGATTTCTCGCCAAGGTCTCTCAGATATCTGCTCAGCTTTATCTGAGCCTCGGTTGATATTAGGAGATTTTAACTCCCACGGTACAGGCTGGGGGGAACTGTACGATGACAACCGCTCAACCCTGATATACGACCTTTGCGATAACTTCAATATGACAATTCTAAACACTGGGGAAGTAACACGAGTGGCCAAACATCCAGCAAGAGAAAGTAGATTAGACCTCTCCCTCAGTTCGAGTTCACTATCGTTGGATTGCTCGTGGAAAGTAATTCAAGATCCCTACGGTAGTGACCACTTCCCAATCAAAATTTCTATTACCAATGGTTCATCTTCCACTCGCTCGGTTGACATCGCGTACGACCTCACGAAAAACATCGACTGGCAAAAATTTGCGTCCGCGGTTCTCGGTGGTACTGATTCGGTTGAGATACTCCCTCCGCTGGATGAGTACTCCTTTTTATCGCGACTTATCGTTGACTGCGCTCTTCAAGCACAGACGAAACGCGTTCCGGGGGTTTTCGTTCGCAAACGACCTCTCACTCCGTGGTGGGATAAGGATTGCACCGACGCGAACAGCGAGAAGTCCGCCGCGTTTAAACGCTTCCGCAAACACGGTAAGGTCGAGGATTTCGAGCGGTACACCGACCTCGAGAAAACTTTTAAGAGCTTGATTAAAGCCAAAAAACGCGGTTACTGGCGTCGGTTCGTCGATGGTTTGTCGCGAGAGACTTCGATGAGAACACTCTGGAATGTCGGCAGGAGAATGCGCTTATCCATGCTCTATTCACTTACAGCACACATGAATTTCATGTGATTTAAATGTCAAAGTCATGTGCATGATTTATTACCATGATATGTTTTGCATATGAATATGTTCTACAACACATGCTAAATTTAAACACGATGCACATGAATTTGATGAAAGACCTTGTAGCAATCTAATAGTATAACTATTGGATTCCAAGTTGATTTGTTGCTCTGAAATAGATAACTGAATTTCATTTAAGCAAATCGTAGTCATGCATACTGCATTCCAATAGTATCGTACAAACAGAAAAATTGTTATCTGATACGCTTGAAACTCAATATACAGAAACGGTCTACTTAAAAGATAATTATTGAATGGGGTTCAGTATGTAAAAATGATAAACACGATACATTTCAATTTTGATACATTAATTTACATTTTCATATTGTTTGTACAGTATATTAATCGTAGAAGATAGCTTAACCTATGCCCTGGATGCTCTAATCCTGTTTTTCGTTGGATCAATGCCGTGTTCTGTAATTAAAATATTGCATTAATGTTATAAATATATCTTATCATACAAACAATGTACTCACGGTTAATAATTTCTATAATTTCGTTAGGAAAACCTACACGAAACGAAAATCAATTATTTAATTCATGTGTTTCACTTATACATTTTTGCCAAAGCATCAGCCTTATACATTCCATAAGACAAACCACATAGGTCCTATTAGAATGCATAAAAGGTAAGTGTGACCGCTTATACATTTCATTTGACACATTATCTTTATTAACTTTTTGCAAGGCGTCTGCTTATTAGTTAACTTATACAATTTATGAATAATCAGCAATGGAAATTTGCCAAAAGGTATAAGGAGATTTCTATCCGTGTAACTCCACTAACAAACTTACTTACTTGCTGGTGCCTTCCATGTTTGTTTTGACACTTTAGGCACTCTTCTCATCATTATAGTGAGATCCGTACGATTCATGTGTCATACACGTTAAAAACACTAGTGGAAAACAGTACCCTAATAAAAATTGTATGGTTAATTTGCTTAACGACGTGTTCTGGGTATCATCCAAACCATTTGTGGAATAGTTCAATGATTTGGGTTATCGTTCGTTTATGGTTATTTTTTATTAGGGTAGCGCAGAATTATATGAGGATCTCATGGATTTCGATAAGTAAACACATGAAATCAATGTGTGGTTAGTATTGATTTCATAAGCAATAAAAACATATTATTTTTTTGTGTAATCTCATGACATCCGAGGGAAAAGCACATGATTCTATGGTGACAAGCAATGAATGGTCTTCATATTCCAAAACACATGAATGGAACGTGTCATTTTTTTTGAGTGTAGGAAACATTCATCTACCTGCTGGTGTCATTAATTTTTATGGGTGAGCTTTCATTCGCGAGAAATCGACAACTAAAACCATTGTTTACAAAAGCAATTACGCCCCTTTGAAATGTTGGCACTGAAATACTCTGAATTTATGAAATACTTCGTTTAATCATAATGAAATTATAAAACTGCGTCATCATCATTAGATTTTAGGTATAACTACGTAATTACAAAACATATATAATATTGGGTCGTATGAATAAAAAGAGTTGACTTTACTTTCCCGTGCTTTTCTTGGGAAAAGTAAAGTAAACGCTTTTCTAGATCAACAATAGAAAAGGGCCCATCAGCATTTGTAAACAAACCGTTCCAAAGCCCATTCCTCACAAATCGAAGGCCGCCCACACAAACCAACACCATCATCGTGTAGATAGAAGTTTCCCCTATGCGATGATGGTGTTGGTTTGCGTGGGTGGCCTTCGCTTTGTGAGGAATGGGCTTTGGAACGGTTTGTTTACAAATGCTGATGGGCCCTTTTCTATTGTTGATCCAAGTTTAAATAAAGGCCAACAGTAAAAGTATGGACGTCTGTCAAAAGTTGTTCCAATCGAACCGTCAAAATGCACCGCTTTGCTCGATTGGAACAGCTTTTTTCAGTTTTGTGGTGACAGTCGTCCATACTTTTACTGTAGGACTTTAGTTTTATTCATACTAAAGAGCCTGAATTTATCCATTTGACAGGTCTTCTGCTCGATTGGAATGACTTTTCCTATGACTTTGACAGACAATCGATTGTTCCAATTTTGACATGTCGCCTCTTTATAAATTTCGGCTCTTTAATTCATACGACCTATTTGTAGTTACAGCTACAATAAAATTATGATGTTGGCAACTCTGCCTAGCAGACGCATTTTTATCATTTTCGGTTTCCCCATCCTTCTTCGACTTGACATTCGATGTCTTGACATCAGAGTGGAAAGAAGTGCGTATCGCGAAAGTACGGTTATTCCGCTGGCGTGGGTCGGATTTAATTCTACCAAATTGAATTTTGATCGTTTCAGTTTTAGTGCTAATTTTTAGATTTTCAGCATAAATTGGTACTCGCAACGGATTGCGAGTACCTCCAAGTGTATTTCGATATCGGTGGAGAGTGCTGAAGAGGTAAATATGATATTTTTTTTTTAAATTTTAAGCTTTGAACCGCACAGCTTGCAACGGGTAGAATTGAAAGAATATGTCTTTGAGGTCGGCCATCTTTAGTTAGTCATAAAAATGTTTTAAGCCTTGAAATTTGATCTGTTTTCAGCAGCCACTGCTTAGAGATAATACATACAATAGTACAGAACATTTAAATACTGTTTGGAAAGAAATCATCGAGTGGAATACTTCGTTGCCAATGTTACGGGAAGTTTTCATATCAGTCTGGCATATTCACCGCATAAGGAAAACGGGTTGGCCGGAAACTAAATCGATAAACTAAACGATGACGACAAGTTGTTTATTGTTGGGGCATCTGCGTATTGCATGCAGTCTACCAAAAGTTTTTGATTTTTTTTTTTTTCAAAGTGCAGTAATGCAAAGAACATTGTTTGAAGGAAGTTGTAAGTATATCGGTCAGTTCTGTCAAATCCGGTTCAAGATGCTTTATTCCGAGCGAATTTCATACGGGTCAGAATCGAACAGCTAGCAAGTGTGGTTACGAAAACTGTGTATCTTTTCCTCTCTGTCCTCCGTAGATAATAATAAAAAAGAAAGAGCAAAATACTCCTCTGAGGCACACAAAAATGTCTTCGCACCAGCTGGATTCCGAGCTGGTGGAAAGAGCTATTGGATTCCATGGATTACCGTTGCAAAAAATTTGGGAAGGAGAACGTGGTGACGCCGATCTGTCCCGCATAGGTGTCTCAAACCCGGACTATTCTGTTTATCAGTCTCGCCAGAAGACACTCACCTTCCATGATCGTGCCAAAAGGTTCAAGTTGCATCAGTTTCTGTCCAAGAAAGCTGATTCTTTATATGATAGTGAACTTAACAGGCAGCCACTGATGGCCCGAACAGAAAGGCGACGTCCGGGAGACTTTCAGCAATGTGAGTATTCGTTTTCCATAACGTATTGGAACCGCCTGCATGTAACCATTCCGTAAAATATTTCAGATGATAAATTTACTGTGCCACCCTTCGATGCCTTTATGGACATTGAGACGAACGAAAAAGTCAACCATTTTCTACAGGTATTGAAATGTTTAAAATAATTGCATAGTTATAATTTCTGACGAGAATATAAAGCATAGCGCGGTGTTTGAACATTGAACTCACAATAGCTAGAATACTGAAAATGGATTTTTTTTAACGATTTTCAAGACTGCGAGGCCGGGTGACGTTGTGTATGGAATAGTGGCCAATAAGAATCATCAAGGAATCATTTTCAAAGTGTTACTGTCGCTGGGAAATACGTGTTGTTTCATTAATAGCAGCGCAGTCAAGGTATGTATTATGGCTTTTCTTCTTGAATTACCTCGTGAAGATAATGATGTATTGATTGGTATTCGGGTTTCAGGCATATGTGTCAACTAACTATTTGGTTCCGGTTTATGACCGCAATGGCGCCGTTCGCAGTTTTACGACCAACGATTTAATCTGCTGTGAAGTAGCTGATGCTCAACCCGATGCTAGAAAATTAATCTGTACCATGCAAAGGACACTTCTGAGTCGTTCACCTAGTACAATCACTTACGGACTAATTTCTGCAGAAGACCTCCCTCAAGCATACAAGTAAGTTTAGTTTTGAGATACGAGTTGACTGACAAAGGCGCGGTTTCCGCTAATCCGTTACACTATAAACCGGAATAAAATTAGTCTTCCATTCTAGTACGTTGTACTCATTATGCGAGACCGTAGTGCTCGCATGATTAATATTAAGGCATGTGATTATGAGCTGTTTGGGAAATAATACGAAAATGGCCGACCGCAAAAGTCATACTAAAAGATAAGCAATAGGTTCTTTTAGTATGATAGTGGACAATATTATAGGTGTTTCGCCATCGAGACTAAATTGGCCGACACAAGCATGATAACGACATGAGATTAATGCTTTTGAAGATCGATAGCTTTCTGACTGGCATTTCTTTTTCTACCATAGACTTAGCCTTGCAGCAACAAAGGAAATCAGACCGTACGAGTACTATCTGAAGAAAACACCTTCTTTCAATGACCCTCGGGGCATTGAAAGTTTGATGCAAGAACTTGGCCTCAGTGGAACCGAATTTTACAGCAACATGTCAAATTTAAAGGGAAAGTTTCCTCAGCAAGAGTACGCAGGTGAACTCCGTAATTCACAAGCAAGCAAATGGGCATTTAGGTTTGTTATACATAATCACGCTTTGATTTATGCATCGGAAACATAATGTTTTTATTTGAACTTTGTAGATCCGTCGCCGAAGGAATCGAACACTTCAAAGAAGGTCGTCACAGTGAAGCATTTCAGTGTTTGAACAAAGCACTCAGTATTGATCCCCGCAATGTGGAGGGATTGGTAGCCCGGGGGGCACTTTATGCCAACAGCGGTTCATTCAAGAAAGCGGTCGATGACTTTGAGATGGCATTGAAGATCAACTCATCCCATGCCAATGCCCGGAAGTATATGGGCGAAACGTTGGTTGCGTTGGGACGAAGCTACGAGGAGGAGAACCGCGCCGATGAGGCCAAAAAAGCCTACCAGGATTGCTTGAATATTATTCCACATCATGAAGAAGCGCAAAACTCGTTGGAGTTTCTAAAGTCTAAATCGTTCAACAAGCAGATCGTTGCTCCGAATGAGTTGGAACTGCCGGGTAAGTTACATTTAGCGTTGAAAGGATCACAAATAGTACACTGTCGGTGATGGTCGTAGACGTCAAACGATGGATCAATAAAAAAAACACATCATTCTGGGGGCGGTGGATTCGAGTCCGTGGATGATTTTTTGAATTGTTTTTTTTTTCATGGCGTGACGAGCTTCTGTCGACTTGGTGGGCAATTTTACGAATTTTCGTTATAGAACAAGTCAAATATTACAGTGAGGCGCTGTGCTATCGCGCATTGCCTAATTAATTATTCTACAAAACAAACATAACAACACGAGTACTCTACTTATGCTTATCACAGTAGGATCTCGTATGAAGTAACACACACTGATTGAATGTAATAACTCAGGGCGGGACTAACCGTCAACAATGCTGATGATGGCGCAGCACGCAACACCACCCTACTGCTTCTCTCTGAGATGACTACGTTGGTCATGACGAGAGAAGCAACACAATAGTTGCTGTTCAGTTTTCACATTGCCGTCCTCTAACGGAGCTATCAATCTATCCTCTTCAGAACTTTCTCTAGCTAATAAATTATCGCACTTAAAGCTTCGTCGGTCCTAAAGCTTCATGTTGATATTAGTATAGCATTTTCTCCCAACTCAACTTATGGCGACTTTGCTTATTATCCAGGTTGGGTACCAGTTCCAATCCGTGCAAACCCGAGCTTGTCAGTGCGAACATCAACCCGAACCAGGTTACAATAACAAGCGTTTACACTGACGGTTGACAGATTGAGCAGATTCAATCTTGATAGTCGATCCAGGTTGGAACTGTATCAAAAACAAGTTCGCGATTAGTGTTCTTTGTCAACAGTTGTTAATTAAGAGCTTTCTGTGCCATTTTTGAAATAGTATTATTGTGTGGCAAGTACAATCATACACTAATAGAATTCCACACATTTTATTGACGAATTTCCATGTAAAATTCCACATGATTTTCATGTGACTACACATAAACTGAATCCACCCAGAAGCACACATGAAATTTATCAGATGAATAGTATGTGTGGTTACACATGGCTTTTATGTGTACACATATTAAATATGCGTCCGACACATAGACATCATTTCTCGCGTCACTTTTCAAAACGTCCTAAGTAACAAATGTAAACAAATCGAGTTAAGCGACACAAACTATTGCTCTTCTATCATAGTATGTGATACAAAGACACCCATCCAAATTTATTTTCATTTATTTATTTATTTATTTTTTTTTATTATAGTCACTTTAACACTCTTGGGTTATTCGTGACTTATCCGGGGGTGAGATTTGCACTCGTGACTTTGGCGTGAGAGGCATGGATGTTAACCAATACGCCGGGGTCGCCCCTTCATTTATTTATGATAATCATAGGTCAAACATTGTCCAATGTACAGTTTGAAACGATGGGTACATGTATGTTGCATCGGTCATTCGGACTGCCTAACATGATTGGTGCTCATTTTCTAAAGGCGGGGCCAATCTAAATTTAAATCAAAATTATGTCATTGAGAAAAATCGTCCAATGTAACAATGTCCGTTGTACAACCTGACTAGTCAAAATATCCTATGTGGTTTTTTTTTCTATATTGTAGCATGAAATTCAAAGTGAAGTTGTGATTTTACGTTAGTATTGCAAAATGTATTTTTTTTCTAAACAGTTAAAATAATAATCTGTCGAACTTCAACTTCGATTTTCTTAAAATGGTGGATATATTACATTGGTCTATTTGAAAAGTGACGCGAGATTTGTTGATCACATTGCAAAAATTCATGTGTGGGCCACATAAAAACAATCTTTGTAATTTTATCAGTGTACTCTATGCCGAGGGAAGTCGAGTAATTTTCCAATCCTAAAAATTCCTAGACCGGATTGGGAATGAAACCCTGCCGCCTCCAGCATGGTCTTGCTTTATAGTAGCGCCTTGGCTGAGCTAAAAGAGGCTCCCGTTTCAAGATAACCTGAAGCTTGAAACGTGTACCGTAGGCAGAAGTAAAAATGAAAATTTACTGGAAGCTAAAAACTGAAATCGAAAAATATCGGCCATAATAGACTTCAGCTATATGCAAACAACATCATCAGGTAGGGAGAATTCTCCCCGAGGAACTAACTGAACTAGACTGAATATTAACGTGAAAACGAGGAAGTACCTAATAGAGTTTACACTGAAGGAATGTTCCATCTGAGTTCTGGTATTTTTTAGGTTCCGTAAAATGTCATAGCCTCGTGCAGCGCCTGACTCCACGCATTTATCTAAATTTATGTTTTCCCCATACACTAATAAATAATACCTGTCTCCTTTTTCCGCACATATCCTCATTGTACATTAATTTGAAAAAATAAACTGTGAATATTCAATAGAATTTTCAAAACTGCGTGAAATTGTGGTACTTACCGGAACTCATCTATTACTAAGTTTTATATTAGTAGCAATGGTACATTCACCATGCATAGATATTAGTTCAGGAGCCATTCATAAACCACGAAGATATTACTTACTCACCAATGCCTACCGTAAAATTTTGTATGGACGATTGTCTACGTAGCGGGCGGTCTAAAACCTCTCAAAAACCGTCTACGTAGTTTATGAACAGTCCCTAATGTACCAGAACCTGGACAGACACTTGCGCCTATCCAGGGGAGGACCCGGATACGACCACCCATGTGAGTCTATTAGAGTATCGCACGAACCGACGAGTGCAACGGGTAGGACGGTAGGTGTATAGACCTGGGGGTTGGTCCCTAGATACGCCAACTTAGCGGAAGGCACGGTATATGCACTGAACAATTACATTTACATCATGCTACAAAGGTTCTAGGGTATACGGCGAACAAGGCATAAGTGATCTCGCATTGGGTACAAAGTTGACAACCTGTTACTAAATTGTATACTCCATTTTTCGCCCGCAGCATTGAATATTCCCAAATCGTCGTCATCACACGATCGCAATAAGCAGGAACCGGACACATCCGGTGTCAGTGGTTCCAAGCGGGCCGGCTCGGAAAACCGTAAGGATAAGAAGGGCACCAAGAAGCAAGAGAAGAAGAAACGTCACAAGAAACACCAGAGCAGCTCCAGCGATTCGAGCTCCAACAGTTCCGACTCCAGCGATTCGAGCTCGGATTCGGATAGCAGCAGCAGCGATTCGTCGTCCACTTCGGGTAAGTGTCGTCGCGGAGTAATCCGTGATACCGTGATCTACGATACACTTTTCAGCCGATTATCCAAATGTCGAGGGCGGATGAGATGCCCAAGTTAAAGAGCAAAGATGTGTGAACAGCTCTTACCACCGAATGCTGCCTTCTTCTCGATAAGCGAATGTTACGATTTGTTTTCTTTCTACATCACTATCCGTATGTTTTAGGTTTGAATAATTGCTTTCAAATGAAGGATGATTATATTTTGTTGTCGCTAGAAATGATTGAAATGAGGATACTTATTTTTGCTTGAAAAGCCAAGGAATGTTACGCTAATAGTAAAGCCAAAGCGTTTAAGCACTCAGAGAATGGAGCGTATAAAAAAATAGCACAGAATGGGAAGTACCGAAAAGCATCATGCAGCAGGATGGAATCCGAGTTGATGCCCGAAAAGATGAAATAGTGAGACAGACACAGACATAAGGTGGTTACAGCTGCAAGAGCAAGCATGTTAAACATCATTTTTGCCTACTTTTCTGTAATTGCCAAGCAATAGTTTTGCTTTATTCAGACGCATTTGCGAAAGCGATAGGTTTCTCATTGAGATGATCCCATTTTTCTTTTGCAGATTCTTCGCGATCGTCCAGGCCCAAGAAGCGTTCCAAACGCAGTAAAACCGAGAAGAAACAAAAATCTCTGTCCCCGCTCAGCAAACGCATGTCGGCTGGAATGGGAAATGACACCCGCGGCCACGATGGACCGTTCCCGTTCGGCAATCAAGCTGCACATGGCCATCCACCCGCCGGAACAGACGAATATGAATTGAAGGTAGGCTACATCAGCTGGCATACATTTTTGCTGGGTCTAAAAACCGCTCATTTATCACCATTTATCGCAGGTCCGCAAGTTCTTGGATATGCCACGTGACGAAGATGACTACGAGGAAAAAGTACGTCGTTTTGTAGCAGAGGCGTCAAAGTACCAGAAAGAACGCAAAGCACAAGAGGAAAAAACAAAGAAGAAAAAGAAGAAGGACGATAAGAAAGCTAAAAAGGAAAGCAAAAAGAAACGTAAATCAGAGGAAAAGAAGAAATCGAAAAAGAAGGACAAGGACGAAGATGTCCTGAACAACGATAAATTAAAGGAAGCGTTGAAGTAAGTCAGACCTAAAAATAGGATTCAAATGAAACACTAACACACCCTTTTGTGCTTTTTACAGAATCTTTGAAAATTTCCCTGTTCTGGATGAGCTTGGTAGCAAGCTGTCGGAATATTATTCGAAACTTGAAAACCAAGGAGCAGGTCCTAGCGGGATGGCTTCGGTTATGTCTTCACTTCTGACTAAGAGTTCTAAAAAAGACGCAACAAAAGCGGAGAAAACGGAAGAACCGAAAGCCTCGTCGAAGCCACCCGATTTGGCAGCAAAGGAACGATCGGACAAAGACACCAAATGGCGGATGATGTTCAACAAAGATGAGAGAGCAGTAGTAAAGGAACCCCCACCGACGACCAAGAGTTTTGTTCCAAAGCAGTACGCGTTTTCCAACGAATCGGATGAAGAATCACTAGGGGTATTTCAGATGCAACAACATCAGCAACAGTTACAGCAGAAAGCAAGTCAAAGGACTGCTCGCTACGATGAGGAAAAGAACAGAAGAAGACCACCTACACCGGAGAAGCCGAAACCATCTGTTTCGCAAATGGCACCGGTAAAATCTGGTCCGGTTGTTTTGGATAAATTCGGTAACTTTAGGCTGGCCAATGCTGAAGAAACAACAAAGCCCCCGGAGCCATCGGGTCCACCGCGTAGATCCCGTAGTAGGTCTCGTGGCCGCCGCTATGGCAGTTCCAGCCGTTCTCGGTCGCAAAGCATGAGACGTCGCTCCCGTTCGGGGAGCTTCAGAAGACGTTTCAGTCGTTCGAGGTCCCGGTCCTTTAGTCGGTCTCGGTCACGGTCTTACTCGAGAAGCCGCTCCCGCTCACGGAGCTTCGAACGGCGTCGTTTCGATCGTCGAGACTATCGTGGCAGGGGTGGTTTCCATAATCGACCTTTCGGAAACCGCTTTCATTCCAGAGGTGGTTTCATGAATCGCCGTGGTGGTTTTCGAGATTTCCGTGATTCTGGTCGCGGAGGATTCCGGGACCGTCCGTTCCGCAATAATAATCGTTTCCGTGGACGATTCCAGCGATCTTTCAGTCGAAGCACGAGCAAGTCTCCCGATCGTATTCCGGTGAGTCCAAGCGAGCGTCATCGACGTGATCGGTCTCGTGATCAGGATCGAGATCGTTCTCGCGAACGTAATTATGAACACAAGCGCTCGAAAGAACGGGAACCTTCTAAAACAAAGGAAAAGAGAGAAGATAAAGAAAAGCCCGCAGCAGAAGAAACCAGCCGAGTATATTTGGCTGATGACATTGAAGGACGTTGGGCCGACAAGAAAGACAATGAAGAACAGGATCCTCCACCTCCGGGAGCAGAAGATACTACCCTTGATGATTTGGAAAGAATATTGGATAAAGCTCGAAAGGATAAGAAAGATGAGATGATGGAGCGGAATAAGGACATTCTGAAGAAATCTGGCGAATTATAAACTAACAATAATTTCTTAGATTTTAGCCTAGTGGTTTGAAACATCTCAGATAAGTGAATGAGTAAAAGAAATGAAAAGTTTCGGACAACAGATTATCTTTCACTGCACTACCTAACACCTTCATGGTGGAAACTCAATAAAATCGAACATTGCTAACCATAACCTCCAATCTTAATGTCGGAAGAAATCCATCTGCAGTCAACACTCCCTTACTTATTGCCTCCTTTACTCGAACTGTTTTGAATTCATGATGGTTCGAATTGGGAGGGAACTTTACCTTTTGATAGTGGACTGTATCGGCAGGGTGGTGGAGGAAGCAAGCGTCGATCGGAAATCAACTCGTAAAGGCTCTGAAAAGAGCTGGTGGGTTCGACGCTGCTCCAAACCAGGGATGTGTTCAGCAATAAACTTAATCGGGACGGCTACACTAACAACGATCCTCTTTCCTCTCTACAAATTCTGCTTCTACTGCTGCTGATGTTCGCTGCTCGGAAAAGAACTCTTGTTTTGCACGGTAGTAGTAGTAGTAGTAAAATTATGTTTATTCTGTTGATTATGACAGTAAATTGATTTAACATTTTAATTGATTAGCCTACCTCGCTCTTCATCTTTGTTTAATTTGATATTATAATTTAATATTTGCGTTTTTCAACTAGTTCACAGAATACCCCTTTTGGGGTGAGTTTTGTTTGAATTGAAAAAAGTGAAGACTTACCTAACTACGAGCATAACTTAACTTAACGTGCTAGATCATGTATGATCTGATGATTTGATCTTAGACAGGTGTCTCTGAACCTTTCCAGGATGAATACTCTCCGTTCTTCTAATGTCTGAATTCCAGCCAGGAGGTGGATCTCAGAATTTCTAGTCCTTGGGGGACTGTGTAGGACCATCCTACGGATCTTGTTCTGTATCCTTTGGAGTTTAAGGTGATGGCATTTGGCGCAACTCTCCCGGATTGGCATCCCGTATTCTATTACGGGAAGGATGATTTGTTTGTGGACAGCAAGCTTATTTTTCAGGGATAGAGTAGACCTCCTGTTGATGAGTGGATACAGTGATCTTATCAAGTTGTTACATGTCAACGTGTTCCCTGAAAATCGGTTTGCCGTGCTGCAATTTGAACACCAAGCCATCATGCCAAACAATGTTTGTTACTCGAGTCAACTGGTGGATGGTCGAACGACCTTTCCGAAAACCAAACTGTTCCTCGAGTAACAAGTTGTTTTCTTCGGCAGATGTTAGGAGCCGGTAGTAGACTGCTCTTTCGAACAGTTTTGATAACCATGAGAGAAGGCTGATTGGTCGATAACTTGAAGGAGAGGACGGATTCTTCCCAGGTTTGCGGATGGGTATGACCTTAGCTGACTTCCAACACGAGAGGAAGTAGCCAAGTCGGAGGCACAGATTAAAAATCAGATTCAGGATGCTGTCGAAACCTGGGGCCTTCATGTTTTTAGATGATTTGATGTAGGCCAACAGTTCTTCAGCCGTAATCTCGGATTCCTCGGAAAAATATTTGGGAATCTGATGGAGGTTGGTTGTGTTTTCAGCAACCTCAGCTTCTTGAGGGCTGACGATGTTTTGTCCGAGATTATGAGAGCTGACGAAGTGTTGACCTATCGCGGCAGCCTTCTCTTCAGGAGTTATCAGATGAACCACTGGGTCGCCGGGACTATCCAGTGGGGTCAGTGGTGGGATGGGTCTTGGCTTATTTTTAAGAATTTTGGTTAGTTTACAAAAGGGCTTTGCACAATCTGGGAGAGAGCGGATCATGTTAGCAAAGTCCTGATTTCTGAGGTCCACCATCCTGGCTTGGATGGTTTTTGTTAGGCGATTACAGTGGGTCTTAAGGACAGGCAGACCAGAGCGTTGGTACTGCCTTCGGATGGTGTTGCCATAGAGGTAACTCTAAGACTAGAAGGTCCCGAAATAAAGTCCTCAACTTTTTGGCTCAGCTCTGGTACTATCTTCGGTCGGTTTCGACTAGAATGGGGTACGTTAATCGTTTGCTTGGGACCAATAGGCTAGTCAAGTAGTGAGCCAATTTAAAATCGTTAGTTTCGTATTGATTGTTGGTGTTACGGAGTCTTATAAGGTCTTTGGTAGATCTGTCAAGGTTCAGAGTATTGCCCACCTGCCTGGATACTGGCACGTGTTGTTCCTTGGCCCAGGATATCGTCTCCTCGATGGAATGCAGACACCGGTCAACGTCTTCGGGCGTCTCCGGAAGGACACCGTAGTCGACACAGTGTTGGAATTGATCCCAGCTGACGCGATGGTAGTTGCGTCGAGGAGCTTGGAATCGGTTAACGGATGAGCCCACATCGACCACCACCGGATAGTGGTCCGAACTCAGCTCCTGGTGGGTCACAGGTTGCGAGATGTTGTCTCCCATGTTACTGGCGAAGATGTCGATGGTGAACTCAAGACCGGCTCAAGCGGGTGGGAGAGTCCGGCGCTATTATAGTGTAGTGAGCCTCTTGCAGGTCGTCGTCAGGATTGTGCCGTTTTGGTTGCGTCGACTGTTGTTTCAAGCCTGGTGTTTGGCGTTCAGATCGCCAGCGATGATGTACTTCTCACGGTGTCGAATTAGTTTGATGATGTCTCTCCGCAGGTCTGCTGCCGACCCGTCCCTGATGGTGACTTGTTTGGGACAGTAGGCCGCAATGATGGTAATAGGGTCGACAGGAGTGGAGACTTCCACACCCACCGCTTCGATCATCTTCAGCTGGAAACTTAGTAGCAGTCGACAGCCAATATTTCTCCTTAATGCGATAGCCACTCCTCCTCCGCAGGAGCTGGTCCGGTCTAGCCTTACGCGCCGAAAATCGGGGAGGTGAACATTTATCTCCGGCTTCAGGTGTGTTTCGGTGAATGCACTGGTTTCATCACGTCTCGCAATGGGAAAATGTTGATTGGTTGCAAATTAAGGTGCTCCATTTTAAGTGGTTTTCTTCCAGGGACGTCGTGAGTGTAGAACTCAAACCGGTTCAGCTGAAGAAAAGTGCCAACAGCGTTGTAGCATAGAGATAACTCTAATAGCGAATTTGTTTATTATCGGGGTTGGAACCAGTTCCAACCCAGTGTGAAACCGAACTTTTTGTCAGTGCGAACCTCAACCTGAGGTGGGTTTGAAAAACGAACGATTAAACTGACGTTTGTCAGAAAACAAGTAGAGCCGATCTTGATACCCGATCCAGGTTGGATCTGCATAATAAACAAATTCGCTATAAGACTAGAAGGTCCCGAAGAAACGTGCTCAACTTTTTGGCTCAGCTCTGGTACTCTCTTCGGTCCCAAGCTAATCGATGCACCCCTCGAAACATAGGAAAATCCTCGAACCCCTCATTTTATCTGTTAAACTTTCATAGCGAATTAAAACAAACATAGTGTAGTACTAGAATTTCGACAAGAATGGGGTACGCTTATAGATGTACTTGGGACCAGTAGGCTAGTCAAGTAGTGAGCCAATTTAAAATCGATACTTTCCACGGGTTGGTTGTAGTCCACCAGCGTCGAGCACAAAATTTTGATCCCCGTGCTGCACAGCTTGAACAGCGGATGGATTTGATTTTTGGCCAGCTCATTCCTGAGCAACGCGAGTTCCTTCGTCGAGGTGAACAGTGGGGGCACTTTTTCCGGTTTCTCAACTGGATCTATATCTGCTTCTTCGGGGAGTGCCGAGAACGGATTACTCTGAAGCAACCTTTCCGTGTGGTTGCTGGCACCAGCTTGCTTGCGAGGCCTTTTCGGGGCATCTTGATCGAATGCGGTTGTAGCCACTCTTTGGCGACCCAGCACCTTTTGTTTTAATTCAAAGTGTTTTTTATGTTACTTCATACGCGAAGTTAACGATTTTCAGAGTTGGTTGGAAATGCTAACATGAAGCTTTAGTGTGATGATTTATTAGCTAGAGAATGATCTTTAGAAGAGGGTAGGTGGATAGTTCCGTTAGAGTACGGCAGTATGAAAATTGAATAGAAGTTGAAAATGAGCGAAGGGCCATTAAAGCGACAGTTTTCAAGATAGACGCACATTTTTGCCTAGCCCGTACGATGTACTATTTTGGCAAAGCCTGCCTCTTCGTGTAAATTTGTTATTCTAGTGTCGAAAGGACGATCAAGTACCATCCTCAGCACTCTATTCTGAGCGACCTGAATTTTGTTCCTGTGGGTCTGTGCACATGATTCCCACACCGGAGCTGCGTAGAGGATCGCAGGTGCTATGATTTGTTTGTAGACAGCCAGTTTGTTCACCCTTGAGAGGCGGGATCTGCGGCAAATCAGCGGATATAGACACCTAACCATCCCGAGACAGGTTACTTCGGCGGACCACTCAACCCTTGTGCCATCCATGATTACAGTACAAGAGGGAGCCGGTTTCAGTTGGGCGATTGCCGATGGAGGAACATGATCGTTTGAGTTTTGGAGTCATTGATTTTGATTTTCCACGTGGTGGCATAATCAGCAAAGGCGTTAAGGCATCGTTGGTGTTTGTTCGTTATTTGCGAGGCATTCTTCCTTTGACGGCTATTGCGGTATCATCTGCGAACAGGAAAAACACGCAACCGTCACCGAGGGGAGGAATGTCGGAAGTGTAAATGCTGTAAAGCAAGGGGCCCAGCAGACTGCCTTGCGGGACTCCTGCTGGGACGGAAAACGTGTTCGAAAGACAACAATTCAACGATACCTTAAACGACCTTTGTTGGAGGTAGTTACGGGTGATTTTAACCAGATGTACTGGAAAGCCGTTGGTCCCCGGTTCTTGAGTTGATGGGTCGATAGGTAGGGTCCAGGTGTGGGAGCTGCCTTCCTGGCGTCGGTAGCATTGGAGCTCAGCACGGAAAACAAGACAAAGAAGAAAGAAAAAAAAAACAAATAAGGAATTAAATTGAAATTACTAATCCTTCTCTCTTTCTCTTTATACAGGTATGTATTCCACTAAGACGCCCACATTCATCAGGAGGAATTTCTTTCTTACACAAAAATAGAACCAACAACATTTTTGCACATTTTGTAAACCATTTTCAAATTACTTGTATTTCATAAATTAATGTATTACTCATTCACTATGTCAACGTACTTTAATTTTTCTTCTTTTTTTATTAATTATGTTTTTATCACAATGGAATATACAGTCTC